AATGATATAGTCAAATGTCTTGGTCAATCAACAGAAGGGTCGTTATTTGTGGATGACTTCTTGATCTGTTACAGATCTAAGAACATGCACACGATAGAACGACAACTTCAACAGAGTTTAAACAAACTACAAAATTGGGCAGACGAAAACGGCTTCAAATTCTCTAAATCCAAAACTGTGTGCATGCATTTCTGTCAAAAACGAAAAGCACACAATGACCCAAATCTAACACTCGATGGCACTAGAATTCCTGTTGTTGAACAGACTAAATTTCTCGGCCTCATTTTTGATTCGAAACTCTCTTTCATACCACATATAAAGTATCTGAAGGATAAGTGTTCCAAGGCGTTAAACATTATACGAGTCCTTTCTCATACTGATTGGGGAGCGGATCGTGAAATGCTTTTGCGCCTATACAGATCACTTATTCGAACAAAACTGGATTATGGTTCTATGGTATACGGGTCAGCGCGCAGTTCGTACCTTCAGATGCTAGATCCAATCCATAACCAAGGGCTACGTCTTGCCCTGGGAGCTTTTCGAACAACACCTGTAAAAAGCCTGTACGTGGAAGCAAATGAACCATCCCTTTATGACAGAAGAATAAAACTTTCATTACAATTTGCAACTCAATTAAAATCAAACCCTAAAAATCCTGCTTTCAACCAAGTATTCAACCCCAAATACCAAAACATATTTACGCAAAACCAAAAACTTCTGCCAACATTTGGTATCCGAATTTTGAATTTCCTGCAAGAACTCAACATAAAATTGACGGACATAGCTGAATTTAACATATCTGATGTTCCTCCGTGGACCATTCAAACCCCCGATTTTAACTTTACATTACATGAGCGAGGGAAATCAAGTGTTATGCCCGAAGAACACAAATCCTCCTTTCGGGAATGCATTTCGAATTACCCTTCTCATACACAACTTTACACCGATGGCTCCAAAGAAGGTGAGAAAGTGGCAGCAGCCTGCTGTACTGCCAATACTTGCACTTCAGTCCGACTACCAGACGGCGCCTCCATCTTTTCTGCTGAAGCATGCGCCATTGGTTTGGCCCTCGACCATATCGATGAACACCGCATTAAAAAGGCAATTATTTGTTCAGACTCTCTATCTGTCCTACAGAGTTTACAGTTACGAGATCCTAAAAACACAATCGTACAAAACCTTGCTCTTCGAATATCTCGTATATTAAAAAAGTCTAAAATAACTTTACTATGGATTCCGAGCCATGTCGGAATAAAAGGCAACGAATTTGCTGACAGGGAAGCAAAAAATGCATTGAATCTCGAACAAACAAATATCAAACTACCATACACAGATTTTAAACCTACTATTCGTACAGCCATTCAAAATGAATGGCAGAAACGCTGGTCTCTGGAGACCAACAACAAACTTTTTAAGATACAACCGAAACTTAAAACATCTATTCCCAGTCGGAAAGATCGTAGAGAGGAAGTTGTCCTCGCTCGGCTCCGCACTGGGCACACATATCCTACTCATTCGTACCTTTTAAAACGAGAAGATATACCTTCATGCCACGCATGTGACACTCCATTTACAGTGGAGCATTTTTTAATAGAATGTTCCGATTTTAAACACATTCGTGATAACTACTTCCGAGTCCCGGATATGAAAACACTTTTCAGTTCCGTGGATTCGAAGGCATTATTTAACTATTTGAAAGACATCGGTCTATTTTATAGACTCTGATGTCTTTTAACCCACCTTATCATTTTTGACGTTATATATATATCGCATATTCCATATCATCTATTCGTTATCTCTTTTATTATTTTAACCCCCTTTTTTATTTTTTATTATCTACACATACAATGCGAATGCTTTTAAAATGAATCATTTATCTGATTTTATCTTCGCTATTCACATGTTTGTTAAAAAAATAAAAAAAAAATAAAAAATCACCATGGCCCTAAATGACCACAGCCGTCGATGGGCCGTTAAACATAAACAAACAAACAAACAAACACATCTAATACTGTCACTGGAGGATGTCAACAGTAATGTAACAGTCACATCCTATACTGATACTGGAGGAGATCTTTACAATTTAACAGTGACATTCTTTATTACCGATGAAATTGTAATGTCATGCGATTTTATTCAATGTTGGGCTTGAAATGAGGTTGTGTTTTAAACATGGTTGATGTGGCATGGAGCGATGCGATAGAAAGATGGCTGTGAGGCGATCAAGGTTGTTATGTAATGTTGTGATAAAATCGATAAAGATCGTAATTGAAATGAAGCTGTGATGGACCGTGGAATGTGCTGAGAATGAGGGATGTAGAATGAGAATGAGGCTTTGATGGAAATTAACTTGTGCTATATATAAGGTTGGCATGGAAATGGGTTTTGGATAAGATATGGACATGTTTCATCCGGATAATATTTGCTATTTCACAGCTAAATAGCAACAATCATCACTATTTGCCTTGCTAATCACATTCGCATTTTGCACCGCTAACCTTTGTACAGTTGTATATATACTATAGTGCAAATGACGTGTATCTTATCTTTAGATTTAGTGCAGTGATTTAGCAAGGCAAAATAATAATTTTGATTATTACAGTTCGAATAAGGTCAAGGTAATGAGTGATAATTATACCTTCCTGTAGACAACCTTGTTTCACTCCAGTGACTTACTTATCAATGGAGGTTTATCATAGTTCCTACAAGGCTTTAGCAGAGAATACTTCGAACGATTATATGTGTTAGGTACCAATGTCAAGGTCACCAAGGTACTATATATAGAAACTCTTTGTCGTCACTTCAACTTCATTTCTGAACGGAATTTGATAAACTGCATGCAATAATAAAGTATTGAAATACTTGGAGCACTTTTTGTTTTAAAGTAGTATAGCAGAGCCCAAGGTAACCATCTATTCTTTAATTACTATGAATTTGTCTATGTACTATTGACGAATATTTAGTACATTCTATAACGCAGGCTGTTGTGCACACGAGGGAGTATTTTAGTATTATTTGTAATGCCTTGTTTAGATGCGTGTTTCATCACACTGATTTTCTCTTGATTTCAAGTTAACATGTCCATCTGATGTCGTCTTAACGAGGAGACCGGCACTAGCACTTTACCAGGTGTCGGACCGTGAGACTGACAAATGAAGATAGTGAATCCAGGTTCAAAACAAACAAGAATAACATCAAGTATAAATGATAACATTTATTAACATCAGACTTGTTTAAAGTACAGTATATACAAATGTATTCATTTAAAAGCATTAAACCCATAACACATCTCCCTGTTAACCCTTAAAATATCTTTAACGTACATGTAAATATGCCTCAAAAATAAATTGAATAAATGGTTAAATGGATTTCAAATAGTGCATTTACATGTATAAAAGAATAACTTATCATGAATGAATGAATGAATGAATAAATGAATGAATGAATGAATAAATGAATGAAAGAATGAACTTTATAATAGAATAGCTTATAACGAATGCATGAATGAAGGAATGAATGAAAAGGAATAAATGAAATGAATAAATGAATGAATGAACTTTATAATAGAAAAGCTTATAACGAATGCATGAATAAATGAATTGAATGAATGATTAAATGGAAATCAATTAATTTAATTGATTAATTACTTCATGCAATTAACACTTCCGCACACACATATGAATATCATCGCTAAGCAAATTTGATGGTTGATCCAAACAAAATCTCCTCTCCGTGAGGAGCAGCATTGTTCTAACAATGTGTTCTTTGACAGAGCTGATGAATAACGTGACTGCTCAGTGAGTGATCAGTACCCGAATGTAGGAGAATCATGACCAGTACCCGTATGTACATATAGGAAGAGTCAGTACCCGTATGTAGTAGGAGTCATAATTATTAGATCAGTTCCCGTATGTAGGAAGAGTCAGTAACCGTATGTAGGAGGATGAACAAACAGGCCCCATGTCTTCTCCCTGCTGAAGGCTGACTTCTGGGTCCAGCCGAACCCGACGGTACCACGCAGCAAACCCAACTTACACTTCACAAGCATATCTACGGGGAAGAAAAACAATTAAAGATTGAAATTATGTTGAAGATTAGCTGCCAGAAGGAAAATATCAAGATTGAGGAGGTAAGGTTAGATTTAGCAAAATATCATGGTTGTAATGCATACGAATGCAATTGATCTGATTCAGAAATGTACGATTTCAATACAAGTGTCGCGTATATAGGAGGCATACTGCAGCAATAACCAGGTACACTGGTGTTGATAGTATACCTGATTGCGTGTCGTAGAAGCCATGTGTCGGTTTAGGGGCGTCTTTTCTTCCCGAAATCTTAAATCGGAACCCACTGCGGTTCTTTGAGAAACACAGGCCATCTGCAATATGATAATAATGTATACAGTACAAAAAATATATTGCGTCAGATTTTTTTATATGAAAACATATAATTATTAGTATTGACAAGAAAGTGATTTGCAAAATAATACAAATGTGGAGGAGAAGTCATTTTATATTAAAAAACGCGGAGGAGATATGCTTTTTGACAGACTAAGTTGTACCTGATGGGAAACACTTCTTTTCTCTATTATGATATTTGAACCCGTTTACTGCTTCCTTTTCTGTGCTCCCAAGTACCTGAAAGTAAAAATAGCAACATTTGAAATATATCTCATTGTTTATGTACCTGTTTTACAAGACTATTCAATATCTACGTGAAGAATATTGTCCAATAGTCTTATATGCCTATATACCGAGTTCCACGTAGAGACGAACTAAATACTTTACGACTACTCACCTTAAGGTTTGTTTTAGACGCACGTAACATCACGTCATCAGCGATGGCTGAAACGTCTATGTTGTTAGCTTTTGTCCACACGAATTGTGTGCTCAACCTGTAGAGACGACGGTGCGACATATAGCTCAATATATCCAGACTATGATATTGTGTATTAACGGGTTTAACAGGGTATTTATCCACATTAATATAATGTGAAAATACATGTTTTATAGTACAGTTGCTAACAGATATATCGCATCTTCGAAAGGCAAAGGTTAAATTTTATTTTATTTTCCTTTTGACTTGTTGAAACAACAAGTCAAAAGGAAAATAAAATAAAATTTCTCGTTGAATGGTTATGATATTGACCTATAAGAACTGTAAACGTTTCGTTTCTTTAATTCGGGAACCGTCGACACTCTCCATTTACAGTGCCAACGGTTTCCGACTACCTTTGCATCGTATAATTTGAAAATAACTCACCCCTGTCTTTTGGCGCATGCCCTGTAGAATCCTTCGATGGCCCTCAACAAACTCCTCACCGAACTAGCCACGTGTTGTTCTATGGCATCTCGTATCTGTCGATATTGTGTTTTGGTCTGTATAACTTTAGTATGGTCCTTTGCACTTTCTTGAATCAAATTGTCAAGTATCTTTTCACTCAATCTGGACAAGAACAAAAGTTGACATGTAATGATTGCCATTGATGCTGATCAAATGTTCCAACCAACTTCACAAGTTAAGAAGGAGACGAAGAAAAGAACGGAAATAACTGACAGTACTAATACTATAAACGTACATTGTGGATGGCTTTGCTATGGACACTTCCCACAAGCCCCCGGGATAATACGGGAAAGTTCCCAGCAGGCATGCAGTGTCGGCTACGGCGGTCACAAATTTGGTCATTTCTGAGTTCTCTGTGAAAGTAGTACAGTATTGAAATGCTATTTCCTGAGTGTGAAATGTGCTTATTTGTAAATGATAGTTTTCTTTTATTCTACTTATCATGTTTCATCACTGGTATGACGTGAATTCATGCATACCAGAACCTGTCGTCAGTAAAAATGTTTGTCTTCAGTAATAATGTTTGTAGTGAGGAAGATAGAGAAGAATCCTGAACACATTGAGAGCAAGACAACTTCCGGTTTTACGGTTGCTGCTTTGATCTATACTTATAATACATTAAGATATTATGTATAACTATGTATACAAAAAAGATATACAAATGTACAGTAATACGTACTTATGCTGGTCAGATTTTCCTGGTCGTACGCGAATTGCTGGAGTATGTAGAAGGGGACAGAACTGCCGTCGATGGTAGTTCCAGGGCAGCTGATATACTCACCCAGTGTGTGGCAGTAGCTCTGGTACTTCTCCAAACTAAACAAATTCAAGATAAATGATAATAAAAAGAATATGATGGATATAGCATGTCTTCAGAAAGAAAAACGCTATGCAGAATTGATTTGTTTATTTTTTTCTCATTAAAAATGCTTATCTGATGATAAAAAAATGAGCCTTGTATTTGCTGCACTACATTTATATCCACATTGTATTAAGTATTTTCGCTTATATTTGATAAAATATATAAAGCAAAACATTATATTTTCAATTTCTGTACGTACTTTCCGCAAATTTCAAGCAGTTTTTCCACGTTCATTTCGTTGATAATCGCTGTTGACATCGTGTTTTCTTGAGACGTTAAAAAAAGCAGTTTTCAGTCAGAATCACCTTGATGCTGTAACTACGCGTAATTGTTCGCGAGATAGCGCGAGATTTTTGACGCCACCCTAATTGTTCTCGAGATTTGACGTATAATTGTTCTGTTCTGGAGATAGCGCGAGATTTTTGACGCAACCCTAATTGTTCTCGAGATTTGACTTATAATTGTTCTGTTCCCGAGATAGCGCGAGATTTTTGACGCTATCTTAATTGTTCTCGAGATTTGACGTCTGATTGTTCTGTTCGCGAGATAGGGTGATATTTTTGACGCTATCTTAATTGTTCCCGAGATTTGAGGTCAGTTCGTAGTCAGTGATTTGGATATTATCATTACGGTATGCATTGTCTTAAACTATTCCCTATAAATTAAACTTCCAACTTCCAATTATAAAAAAATAAATAAAAAATAACAGCGATATACACCATAAAAATGTTTCTCCATAATGTTATCAAAACACTCCGCTCTTGATATTAAAATCAAAGTACTCTAGATTAAGATAAACACAAACCCCATTAGAAATCTCGATAAAAGTAATATTTTACACACCCTTCCAAAAAAACTGACTCGCGCCGTTTTGAGCATTCCTTTCTGAGTTACGAAAAATGAAACTTTGTCAGCTCGTCTGACACTCAAAAAGTAAAATGCAGTCAACTGCTTGTCAATATTATTGTAAATATACGCTTTGTAATAAATAACATGTTATATGAGATGCATACTACATAATTTGTTTTATGTTAATTTTCTATAATATTTTGTTCCTTTAAATGGACGTTATTCGGATGCATGTGGTATCCCGTGCCAACATAGACCCGCCAAAGTTTTGAAGTGTGTTTCTGAACGTACATACAAACGGACGACAAAGTAGTTACTATAGTAAAACAAACTCACGAAATAACTTATACTATTGTACTAACTGATACAAAATGGTACATGTGTAATATATACCAACAAGATTGGTGTATGAATGAAAAATAACAATTAACGACGAAGATGGGATTCGAACCCACGCGGGGAGACCCAGTGACGTAGCATACATGTATGTAATTTTCAAGATTTTTTTTAATCATATATTTTTATTATATTTTTTTTTTTATGGTTAATATTGACACGTCCGTATCAGTCAAAAAAAGGGAAAGAATAAAACAAATCTTCTTGAAAAAAATTTGTCTGTACACATTGAATTTTTTCGAATGTTTATGTACAATTCTAAATCAAAAACTACTTATTGAAATACAAAATTGAATATTATTCATATTAAAAGTCGGTTTTTGCTTGTTAGTAATCAGATTAAAAGGATTTCCCAGAATACAGGGCCTAGTAGAATTATCTTTTCCCCCAGCTATGCCATAACAACATTATTACAAAGGTAATCTTGCCTTTTCGTTGTTCGTATGCGACATTTGTTCACATGTTATAAGTCTATAGATTCGTTCGAGTTTTCAAGATGTCATATTTCAAGTAGACTACATTATAGTGTGGACCGCACATGTATGATATAAGCATTTTTATTATATAAGCGTTCTCCATGCATAGTCTTAAACTGTGTTGTAAGTTTCGCGGTAAAAAATCCCAGTGTAGAACTTGATCTGCTACAGTTGTTATAAATATTGATATTTAACTTCAGTTCCTCCCATATCAATGGCCGGGGTATGGGATAGTTGATACCGATCGGAGGATGAGTCTACCCAGATCATAGAAGTGTGAGCATTTACAGTATAGGGAAAGCACAAACCACTTTTCATCATTAAATTTTTCACCTAAAGTATGGGCCTTTTGTCCAGCTTATGTACATCTTGTTATAGTATGGCGTGTTATCTGAATGGTTTTTGATAACACAATAATGCAAGCAGTTATCCGCGAATAAACTTAATTTTGTTGTTTGACCGATTCTAGCAGGTCGTTGAGAGCGATCTAGGAAGAACAACGGACCTATATGGCCGTTCCCTGGTGGATCATGGAAATAACAGGGGAATTTACCTTCTACGACTACGACTAAGCGACGATTACATAGGAAGGAACGACGAAGAGGTCCTCGTATTCCGTAGTTTTTCAGTTTCACAAAAGAAATTATTCGCGTAAAAAAATTACAGCGTCAGTTTTGACGCCGTTCTAGGCAAAGTCGTTAATGTTTAGGGACATCTGGGTCTCACACGAGTAATCCGAGCGGAAACAGTGGTTACCGGGCGTGAAGTTGTTATTGTTCCAAGATTTCAGAGAAAATGGACGTAAGAGATACTGGCCTATAGTTCTTAACACACAGGTTGCATTTGCGTTGAGCCACTCGGATGATAGACATACACTATTAAACGACTGCTGGGATTCAAGGCTGAGTGAGGATGCCAGCTCGGAGGCACAGACGCTAAGTATCCCTTTCGGGATGTGGTCAGATCCAGGAGCTTTGAAGACCTTATTGTCTTTTAGGAGCGTCAATACTCTCTTCTCAGTCATGGTAATATTTGGTAAGCTTTTAAGGCTTCTTTTAAAGTCTGAAGCACACGGGGAGAGTGTATGCCCTGCACACTTCTGGTAAACACTCACGGACTTCAATTTATCCAGGAGAGTTCCAGCTCTATCTGTCAGTGTGTGGTTTATTTTGGTACTTGAGTGGGGTGATTCCAATATTTCCTCTTTACTTTTTATTTCCCTTTTATCTACTGAACGGTTTGTGGTTATTGCTTGTTAATCTTTCATTCTTGCTCGTGTTAACATACCCCCACTGGGCCTGTCGAAAAGCTCGTTTATATTCATAATGGATTTTTTTATAGTTTTATAAGATCTTTGTAACCTTGGCCTGATTATTGCCAATACAGGGAGTTTCTCTGTAAACTCTGGTAGGGACGTTGTCGTCCACCGTTCTGAGGAGTGATGATCCTGTCGGCTGTAGGTTTCCGTTTCATAACTTCACTACTTATAACACAAACTTACACACACTATGTACAAACTTATATTTAAGATTTGTATTATACGGGAGTGAAACAAACATCACTCCCTTATTTAAGTACTTCCCATTACACAGTGGGGGACTGTAAATTGTACCCTAATACTTTGCCTTGTTGCATATACTTTGTTAATATCTGGAACTGAATAAATTGCTATGAACAAATAAACCAATTTATAGACTATTACAAAAAAAATTAGAGCTCACGGAACGCATTTGGCTGAGGAATCACACTGTTAGAAAGGCGATTATCAGCGTTCGCACCTCCGGGAGATTGGTGCCGCTTATCCAGGTGAGCGATTTCGGCTCTTGTCATCTATCAGTTTATAAACGTTTTTGTTGATCGTAAGATGAAAACGCATTTTGGTATTCTTTTTAACACGCTCTCGCATTCTAGCATTGCTTCTGTGTGACCGACAATTGCAGATATGGTATTGTTACTTTCTTTTAGCAGTGAGATGAAACAAGGTGATTTGACAAGGGATGCAGGGCAGTGTACAATGTGGAACAGATTGGAATATTTTCTATGCATCCTAATTTTTTCTGTATAAAAATACCATGCGTGTGTTGCATTTATTTTCGCTGTACATTTTTGTGTTATTTTTGTTCAACGACATCTACACACACGGCCACAATTGTCGCGGCAGCTGTAATACATGTGCACAAAACCCCCACTGCATTCATTTGTGTTGAAAGGTGTTTGAAATTATCTTTTGATATATACGCCGAGAGAAATGTCGCTGACGTTATACTTTCCATCTCTTCGTACTGTCTGAGTGACGATTCCGTACCTATGATTTGGATATCTTTGGCTCTAATTCGCCACTGTACCTTCCATTTCTTCAGTTTACTGTTCTTATGACACAGCATACTCAAGTCGTTCTCACAGTCTAACAAGTGACTCACGGCCCAGGTATTGTCTCACAAGACATAAAGCGGATCTGAGCCTAGTATACTGAGTAGGGAAACCTTGATAATCGGGACCAGATGAGTCCGGATCAGCGAAACTAGTATTATATGTATAAATACTAATAAGTTTATGTTTGATGAAGACTCCGTGTCTGTCATCCTTGGAATGTGAAGCGCCTTAGAGCATTTTCCTTGAAAGTAGATAGGGCGTAATACAAATGATGTATGATAAATAAATAAATAATTAATTAACGAAGGCACGGGCGGACGAACAAAGAGACTGCTACTATGCATACCCCCCTCCGCCCCATTACTTCGTAGGGGATGGGTATGATGAACGGTTGAACACCTCTGTTTCCTTTCTCTTTTGAGCACCTCTGTTTCCTTTCTCAAAGGGTATGTACTGTCTCTGAGCTTGCTTTTTGAAGGTGTTTCGTATGCGAAGGGACGAGGTATATTGGGTATAACACTCTCTGTCAACCGGAACTATGCGCCAGGTGCGTGGGCTGTTATAGGCTAGGCTAACACAGAACAAACAAGCACGATCTTATATAATTTTGTTTGAGATATGTAATTTACAACTGGCGTGTATAATTCACATAGGTCAAGGTGAAAGTTTAGTTCTTTCTAAAAACGGCTGATTGTCAAATAAGCATTCACCACCATGGAAGTGTTACGATTCAAAATTTGGTTTTTGTCGTAAATATGTGCTCTTAGCGACATTATAGCGTATCTTGTATTCGTCTATAAACCGGTAACGGTAGCGGTAGCGCACCACAGAACATGACCCAGGCACTTAGGGGATCAACTTTTGTAGGTTCTACGAGCGGACAAGTACACGTAGACGGAATGAAGCCCTAGATCAACGTCACTTCTACAAATAATTCTTCGTTTTGAGTCGCAAGCATTCCAACCGACGTGTTCAAGCCAAAAATAAAAATTCCAATGTGATATAACATATGATACAATAACATATTGGCTCAAAATGACTAACATTGTCGATAGACAATCAAACAACACAATAAAAATACAAGGATTTGCATTGATCCTCGGAGAAAATTCATGTAAAGTAAGATGAAATCGGTATGTGATAAACATTGTTCTAGTGTGTCTCTGTAACACCAACAGACACGTATACATGTATGTAGGATGTTTCCTCTTTTTGTATTTAAGTGCTATCACATGTTGTATATATAGCCTATACTGGTATACATTCGTAAGTACCCCCTGCCCTAGATGAATATATCTTTATTTTCCTCCCCGTTGAAAATTGGAGTAGATAATTAGACGAGACGGATATATGTGACACGTCAACTTAAAAGTTGTCGACAAATTGACATACTGAACAGCGCTTGAATTTGGCGGTGTACAGATTTCTTGGTTTTCTTATTGCGTCTCCTACATTCGTTTTGGGATTTAATTTTCTGTGTTCTTAAGTTATCCGTTAATGCGATTTAAAGGGATATACAAAAGACACCTTGTTCAATGTTTGTTTGTTTGGGGTTTAACGTCATCGCAACAGCCAGGGGCATATGAGGACGGGTAACTAGGGAAACAACAGCCAGGGGCATATGAGAACGGGTAACTATGGAAACAACAGCCAGGGGCATAAGCAGACGGTCTTTTTCAATGGAATTGCTAGTATCCGCAAAAACATTTTTTTTGAAATTTCCAATGATTTTGTTTTACCCTCATCAACACACTGTTTGGAACAAGAGATCAACTGTATATGATATATTAAAACAGCTTGGTAAAAATGTCAACATACTGGTTTGGTGCTGACGTCAATGTTACCCGAGGCGAATCGACGTTTACAATGATGTATGCTCGCGACAAATCCTTAGTTCATGAACCTATTTCACAGCAATGATGTGAAAAAAATGTTAAACCTACGTGGTAAATCAGCCATAGCATATGTACGACTACTCAAACATCGATTAAAGGTCTATAGACCCCGCGCTTCACTGGATACTCGGTGAAAACATTTATAGATATAACTACGTGATTGTGATGAAAACGTTTAAATATTTTTCACTTAAAAGTAACCTTCATGCAAAACTTTTATCAGACGATGATTGTTGTCAGAAGGATTTGCGAACTCATCAAAGTGATTTATGACGTCATCACAATGCCTTTTAATCTCATCACAATGCTTATTGACGTCATAGCCATGCTAATTTCATGTTTAATATGGATGTATCGCTTTGCATTCATACCGGCATGAAAAATTAAAAAAAAACCGCCGTTCAATCCATTTTTTACATTTTAACTAAAAACAATTACTTAATTTTATTTATTTGTTCTTGAATAATTTATTTATTTACTGTGTATTGCATATGCGTCCTCCTTTAATAAAATTGGCGCCAATAATTAACAGTGCTCATTTGAGCGTTTGACGCAGTGGCATATAATCCATTGTATCCGAAGCGAAGCGACAAGACTTTCATTGAACAAGGCTAATCTATGACGAAATGCATTTCTGCTGGTAATGTTCAAATATAGAGATTGAACGGCAAATTTTAAATTTTCATGCCGGTCTGAGCGCAGATCGGTTACATCCATATTGCATAAAGCCCGCTAGGGCTTCATGTCCAATATGAATGTGACCGATTTGCGTTCATTTCGGCATGAAAATTGAAAAAAACGTCGTTCAATCCATATATTTATATTTTCCCTATAGAAAATTGTTTCATTTTATTTATTTGTTCTTAAATAAATTATTTGTTTACTGCGTTTTGTTTATGCGTCGTCCTTGAAACGACATTGTCGGAACAGCCCTATTCAAATAAAATTGGCGCTAAAAATTATCGGTAGTCATTTGAGCGTTCGACGCAGGGGTATTCTCCATGTTATCCGAAGCGATGCGACAAGACTATCATTGAACAAGGTTACTATATGACGTCATAAGTAAACCACGTGTTACGTCACGAGAGTTTATGCTTTCATACTCGAATGATATAGTGGTTTGCAGCGCAAATGTGAATATAGTGGGTTGCAAATGCAAATGTAATGCTTTGTGACGTCATCCTTATGTTTTCAACTCTTTCTCAAGGATTTGAGAAGTTCCACTTTCAGCAAACTTGAAAAAAAAACTTGTATTGTGACGTTATCATTGCCAGATGAGTTTTTTCGGTCGAAAAGTGGAATAATGCACCGAATGTTAATTTTTAGCATATCATTACTGAAACTTTGCGAAAACAATTGTAATGTTTTGTTATTTGTTTCTGTAATTTATTCCACTAACTTGGTTACTGAAAAGCACTGTAACATAAAAAACAATATCAAGAAATATTATTTATTGTAGGTGCTTTAAAAGGCATATTTTGTTTTTCAAAGTCGGTTGAGTTTCTTCAAATGCTATTTTAAAGTACATTTTTTCTTGTATCCATGCATGTAACGTCTCAATAAGCGTAATAAAACATTTCCAAGAAAAATAACTTTCCAATCTCAACATTAAGTAGCGAAATTTCACGGGATAGATACTCGATAAACTAGTACTAAGACATTGAGTACCAATTTATCCGAGTTCAATACATGTATATAAACATGATGATAACAAAAATCACTTGGTTAGGGAGTGTTTATATACCACGAGAAAATAATAGCTTGCATATGTCGGGCCTTGCTTGACGCCTTCTGAAGGTAACACCCCCTGTCATACTGATGCATGGAGCACAATCTGTAGGCCTGTACGGTGATCTTAGAATTAGTACAGGCTATACACTACGGTCGTGTATCACCGTGTTTATGTAGAGGATACATGCACTAACGTATTGTGGGTGTACATTTTACTGGTGTCACATAACGGAGATAGGGAAGCGCTATATTAAGGGTCAAAACACATGTCGATCTAGTCTACCTAGCGCCACACATGTATGTGAAAAAGTTATCAATTGGAATTATGTGTATCATTCTTTTGTCTTAATAATCTGAACTGTTAAAATACCAGACGGATTCTTGGCACTTGTGTTTCTTTTTCTTGTGGAAGTTACTATGATAGTTTGGTGGCCGTAGGCAATCGGCGCGTGCTCACGTGAGGAAGGCAAGAGGTAACTAAGGTACGTACATCATAGTACACATGGACAGTATCTAAAAATATACCTGTGTGTATTTCTGCCACTGTGTCAGAGTACTATAGGATAATATTTGATTTTTGTGTCATATTTCACTAGGACAGCAAGTACGTACCATGCTACTATAGGGTAATATTCGTTATTTCTGTCCTAATTCACAAAGACAGTATGTATGTGTCCTATTTCACTAAGACAGTATGTATGTGTCCTATTTCAATAAGAAAATATATATGTGTCCTATTTCACTAAGAAAATATATATGTGTCATATTTCACTAAGACAGTATGTATATGTCCTATTTTACTAAGACAGTAAACATGAGTCCTATTTTCACTAAGACAGTATGTATATGTCCTATTTCACTAAGACAGTATGTATATGTCCTATTTCAATAAGACAATATATATGTGTCCTATTTCACAAAGACAGTATGTATATGTCCTATTTCAATAAGACAGTATGTATGTGTCCTATTTCACTCAGACAGTATGTATATGTCCTATTTCACTTAGACAGTATGTATATGTCCTATTTTACTAAGACAGTAAACATGAGTCCAATTTTCACTAAGACAGTATGTATATGTCCTAGTTTCACTAAGACAGTATGTATATGTCCTAGTTTCACTAAGACAGTATGTATATGTCCTAGTTTCACTAAGACAGTATGTATATGTCCTATTTCAATCAGACAATATGTATGTGTCCTATTTTACTAAGCCAGAATGTATGTGTCCTATTTCACTAAGACAGTATGTATGTGTCCTATTTCACTTAGACAGTATGTATATGTCCTATTTCACTTAGACAGTATGTATGTGTCCTATTTCACTAAGACA